CGGTATATAAATCAAATAAAGAAAGAAACAAAATGAAAATACAGCTTGTATTTTGGGTGGCAGGAACCTGTGCAAAGAGATTCTATCCTATGAAGTGGCTGCCAGGATCTGATCCTGACTTTTGTTGTTGATGCAACAAAAGATATCCCCCCCCCCAAGCGTATCTTTGCTTACAACGTGCTTTCTTGCATATGTGGGGGGAAAGCTGCCGACAGCCATTTGCCAGTGACTTACTTTCTAAATGCTTATCAAATGTTTCTACATACATCTTTCTTCCCCTGGTAGTGAGAGGGTGTTAATGAAACATGGCATCTGGCCGTGACATCCAGCTGTGCCACAGATGCCCGGGGCTAAGATGTCACTTTGGCGGCAATGGTACAAAACTTTGTTTACATTGCTTTCACTTCAGCGATCTCTTAGGATAGAGCTTCCTGGCTGATAACCTCCTTTCTCTCTTATAAATATTCACCAGCTTGATCTGCCTGGTGCTTTGCAATGCCTGAGGGGTCTTGCTGACTGTTTGTCTCCCCAGCAATTACCGTATCTGATCAGATGACTGGTCGGTTAAGTTTGTCAGCAGCCGACTGCTTTGCTGCCATTCATTTATGGTAATCAGAGCCTTGTAGGGTGTACTGCAGTATTTGAATCCATTTGGATTTTCTTAGCATGTGGGGAACGGTTGTAAACTCATGGCTGAGGTTGTTTCTCCTCTCTATTAATCTAGAGTCTGGTTAATTTCTTTTTCCTTTGGGGGGGGCAAAAAGCTGTTGCCAAGGAATAAGAATTCGTGGTTACAGATCATTGAACAGATAGCAGCAGTTATTTACCAAGCAGTAGATTGTTTTTCTTGCCACCTAGAATTACTCTAACAACCCAATCCTGATCATGTTTGTTCAGAAGCCCTGTTGATTTCAATGGGATTACCTCTATAAACATATGTATAGGATTCCAAGTTGTTTATTTTTCTTGATCTTTAACTTTTTAACCTTTTTTTAAAAAAGGACCATATATTTGAAATGTGCAAATAATTAATACTAAATATTAAGCGGTTATAAAATAATATTTGCTATTTGTTTTTCCAAACTGATGGCATATGTGTGTGTCAAGTCGCTTCCAGCTCATGGCGAGCCTATGAATTAATGACCACTGACCTCCAAAACATGCTACCATTAATAGCCTTGCTCAGGTCTTGCAAACTGAGGGTCGTAGCTTCCTTTCTAGAGTCAGTCCATCTTATGCTGGGTCTTTCTCTTTTCCTCCTGCCTTCAACTTTTCCTAGCGTTATTGTCTTTTCCCGTGACTCTTGTCTTCTCATAATGTGACCAAAGATGGCATATAGGCATGCCCATATTGAAGAACCAATTAATTTCTTTTTACAAAGGCTATAATTAGGACTGAGATGGTCAGCTGCCATTACTTGACCAGTCGAATAATAATGCTTTGTATTGTGTCATGATCAAATATTTCAGGACAACGCTTCCGTCTCAGTTGTGCTGTGTGTCCTTCACCTGTATCTTTTTATCCTTTACTCAAGAGGAAAGTGTGCCTAGCTGCTTCCTTATCTATCTCTGGCCTCACAGGCCCCAGGGCCATAGCTAGGATGGGGCCAGTGGGTGTGCTGCCTCACTTTAAGCCCTGGCTTGTCGTGCCTGGAAATGTGATAGCCCCACTTAATGAAGAAGGCTGACCAAGGCCTGGCTCTGAGCGCTCCTGTAATCATGCCTAGTGTTATATACACAATATTGGCATTGAACGGATTGGGCGTAGAATCCTCTGAGTCAATGTGCTTGGCCTCTGTGAACGTCAAAAAGTGGGCTGGAACAACTGGGGCTGTCTTGGTACTCTTAGTTTATTTTATTCATTTAGTTATCTTACATCCCGCCTGTCTTCCCAAATGGGGACCCTAACCTGCTCACAACAAAAAACAAAGCACAACATTCGAAAAACGAGTGAACAAGAGGAGGAAAGCTCATACGTGCAGAACCGATTTTCCTTTGTCTCTGCCAGGAGATCTTCCTTCTGGCGGTAGACTATGACCTCCAGCTCCAGGACAAGTGCTGAAAGCCCAGAACTCTTTGGCTCTTGCCCCTCAGCCCACACCCAAGCCTGGATGGCAGACAGACAAGCGCTCGGTCTGGATATTACAAGCTGGCAGCCATCTTCCCACAGTTTTCAGGCCTTTTCTTTGAATGCCACGGGCACGATACCCCATTAAAATGAAAAAAAGATTTGTGCAAGACCACTACTGCTGTCGAAAATCCTCAGTGCTGTGCCTTTTGCCAAGAGTACAGGTCCCACTGCAGATATTACAATGAGTGATGACCCATGATCTATGCTTATTGGATGCTTTGCCTAAGGCAAACTGGCTGTTTCAGCTAACTTCCTGATGTAACAAAAGACTATCACTGGTGCGTTCTGTATCTCTGGCATCCTTTACTTTGTGTTATTATGAGCCTCTTCTGGAAGTGTTGTCATGATATTCCTGGCGTGCAGTGCAAATGACCTGATGAGGACTGAGGAGGTCCAGGAGTAAGGTGGCCCGCCGCCAGGCTGTTACAGTTGCTCTCCAGATGACCAAGATCAGTTCCCCTGGAGAAAATGGCTGCTTTGGAGGGTGGACTCTATGGCATTCTACCCTGCTGAGTCCCCTCCCCTAACCACACCCTCCCCAGGCTCCACCCCCCAAATCTCCAGGTATTTCGCAACCCAGAGCTGGCAACCCTATCTAGGAGGCACAGAACTGGTCCTAGCAGCTGAGAGCCTGGGGAAGGGCAAAATGGCCTGCTCAAGCCCCTGAGAGTTTACAGAGTCCTGGGTGGGGGTGGTTTGGTGGGTGCTATGCGTTTATATGGGTAACACCACTGGATGGCAAAGAGAGAGTGACTCTTTATAGAATCCCATTAATTCCCTCCATTTGCCCTCTTTCACTCTATCCTAGGCTTCAGTTTCCCAGACACTGGGTTCATAGTTAGAGATAACACTGAAGGCGGTGAACAAGCCTGCCTGTGGAAAGGCTTGCATGCAGTCAGGCCGCAGCAACTTTTAAAAAACTAGGCAAGCCATGAGGTCTTTGGACCTTGCTTGCTGATGGGAAGCTGCGTAGGTGTGTCACCAGCAAGTAACGCCATGGAGTGGCCTCTCAAGAGGATTGCCAGGAAATCGCAGTCTTCAGAGACAGATGCGCGTGCCTGTCTTTGCTTGATCTTGCCTTGTGTAGCCAGCCACCACCCTGCTTATAACATCTTGTTATGTTAAATTGGATCTCTTCTTGGGTACCTTACGAACCTAAAAGAGTCTGGCAGGCCCTGACTCTAAAGCAAGACAGTGGGGATCACCCTGCTTGTATATTAACTGGCTGGTGTCCCTGTCGAGGTTTCTTCTTCAAGTACTGGTACTTGCCTGGAAGGAATGGGTACAGCCATTTAAAAATTACATATCTGGGTTTTGACCTTATCATCGATGCTATCAGGATTGATCGCATGACACTGATTAGTGATCATTTGCTGGGCAGAAAGGTTAGTTTTTTTCCACTGAACAGCAAACTTAGTGACCTTAATTGCTTGCCTTGTACCCAGTTCTGGTCTTTCCGTTTCATTGCTGATTAATTTTCACATGTAAGAAGGTTGAGACTTATGCAATTTTTCCCCTCTGTAATCACGTGCTTTCCTGTGGTAGTACTCTGAAACCTTTATTCACAATCTTCTTCCTACTCATCTGTTAACCATTTCTAGCATGGTAAGTTTGTTTGGAAGTATAAAGAACGGCAAGTTGCATTGGAGAGCATTCCTTGATTTTAAGTGACTTGCTTGAAAACTGCACTGGTGGCTTCATGCTGAAAGCATACGCTTCGCTCCCATTTCTTGTAGGGGGTACTGGAAGTTTTAGCCCTGCTCAAATGAGGGGGGGGGGAAGCATTTTCAGCCCATTAAAGGTGCTTCCTCCATAGAGGCACCAGATCTACCTTCAGTGCCACTGGCCATTATTATAAAAGCTGCTTTACTCAAAGGACCATGTAGTACATTAAAGTGTGTAATAGACATTTAAAACTTCCATGTATGTTTTTCCCCGCCCACCATAGCGCCAGCGAATATTCTACTAAATGACTCTACAGTTGAATTTTAAGCATGGTTTGTTTTCAAGTGATTCACAGTGCAATCCTGCATATAGTTAATTTGACTTTAGTGGGCTTATAATGGTGTAACTCTGCTTAGAATGACTGTGTTGATTGTTATCAGAAATGGGATGCTGTTGAAAGCTGGCTAATGGCCAGTTGGTCTACTATTGTCAATTGCTGATGATTTACCTAGAAAATTAGCTCTTCTGATGCCATCACTTTTCCCACCACCGCCAGCCCATTCTTACTCAGGTAATTCTAATATATGTGACCATACTGTTGGTTTTCCTTTGTTTCATTGAGTAGTGCAATAATCAGTAGCCATTATTTAAGTCACTTAAATCTTTTGTGTGTGTGTGTGTGTGAAAAGTCATGTTAAATGTTCTCTACCCACTGATTTTTCTTGTCCTCCAATAAATTGCATTTCTTTGAAGACCTACAGACGGGAGGTCCATACTTCTCTGGCTTACTCTGTTATTATGATAATAATTCAACTTGTAAGTTTTCCTTTTCTGCTGTTGTAATCATTCACCACCTAAATTTTCCTTGAAACTGAACAATCCAGGAGGTAAATGATGGCAGCAGTACAGGATCCCCTGTATGTTACCCGTGAACAAAGCGGAAGATTTGAAATACAATAGAGCTTATTTTCCCTGGCAAGCCGTACTCTGACCAGAATCTCTTTCTTTAAAGGGCCCAATGCAGGTGATCACAGGTCCACTCTAAAAGAGACCACTCATCTCTCTAAGCACTTTAAAAATCAAATGATTTTTTTTTCAGTACCCAGAGGGAGAAAGGTACCGGTAGTTAAAAGAATCAAACTGGAGGGCACTTTTGTTCATATTGTAAACAGGTATGTGATATTTTTATCTATTCTGTTTTTCAGATGGAGCAAGCATGCGAGGACCTAGACCAAATGTTCAGCAATTTATTGGGAGAAATGGATTTGCTGACACAGGTGCGGTTTGCTTTCTTTACTGCTTGCTAGAACAGGTAAAGGGGTAGAAAAGGGAGACATTTCTTGCTTCCTGCTTCCTCTTCAGCTCTTCATTGTTATACTTCTCCAAATACCAAGGAGATTCAGGAGCAGCACTGACCTGAGCTAGTTCCTAGCAATGTTCCCTCTAAGCTGTGCAGTCTTGTGAACGAAAATTCTACTTTGTGAGCTGCTGGCATTAAAGCTGTGAGCAAGTGATTTGGCTGCTGCATAAATTAGTTTGCTCTGGAGCCACCCTTCCTGAGCTAAGACAAAAATGTGTGAGCTGGAGGCTAAAAAGCTGTGAGCTAGCTCACACTAACTCAACTTAGAGGGAACATTGGTTCCTAGTGGAGAAGGGACCCCTTTGTCATTTGTCCTTTCTCTACCAATATATGAGTCAAGCACAGATAGACGAAAAGAGGTATTGCCACAGCCAAGCAGATCTGTTACTGCCATCAGCTCCCCAGATCCTGCACCCTCGTCCTGCTTCAGCCCGCTCACGGCAGTGCCTCTTTCTCTGTGTCAGCCATATTCAAACTGATCTTTTCTTCAGACACACATTGGCCTTAGCGGGGAGGAGGGTTGCCTCCCCTGGGCTGTGACAGACACATGGACAGAGCCATTTCCCTGCAATTAAGGCCCATTGAGGAGACATCTAAAATTGTAAGAAGTGTCACTCTTCCTTTTGTCATAGGCTCTCTTTCTTCCCACCCCCCACCCCCAGGTGTGCCACTTTAAGCCAAGATCATAGGATTGACCCATGGTAACTCCAGTCTCACAACAATATTAAATACACTGCAAAAATTAATCTCAGTAGGTAAGAACATAACATGAGAAGAGCTCTGCTGGATCAGACCAGTGGTGCATCTAGTCCAGCATCCTGTCACACACAGTGGCCCATCCATTCCTCTGGAGGTCTACAGGGTGTAGAGGCCGAGGCCTTTCCCTGATGTTGCCTCCTGACAAAGGGATTCAGAGACTGCCTGCCTCTGAGTGTGAATGATTCCTTTAGTCTCCATGGGTAGTAGTCACTGATAGACCTATCCTAATGTCTGTTCCTGTGGCCATCGCTACATCCTCTGGCAGCAAATTTGTTGTTTTAATCACTCGCTGTGATTAAAGGTTTTCCAGTATCGTTCACCAAGGTGACTTCCGAGCAGCAACAGCTGCTTAAAGCAGGTGCGGCGCAACGAGTGCCAGCCTAGGATATTTTTGCACCACAACCTAATTGTGTCCCTTGGTTAGGGCATGTGTGTCCACACTTTGAAAGAGGAAGAATGAAGAACAGGATAACAGTCCTCACATGCTTTCTGTGAAGGCTGGACATCATGCTGTTGGCATTAGGGTTGCATAGCATAATTGGTGGTGGATGAGTATGCTTTTTTCATGCAAAAACACTTTTAATATACAGCTGCTTCTTCTTCTTCTTTTAAAAAAGGCACATGTACTCCATGAATTCTGAAGACTTGCAGTTGGATCAGCCTAGCTTTAGAGACAAACAGTCCACATTTCTTGTTTTCACAGGCAGCCTCTCTGGCTTTAAATCTTTTTAAATTAACATTCTAGTTGCCACATTGTCAGCATAGTCTGCTGGCTTGGGGATGAGGATAGGGCATGGCAATGCAGCCATGCTTTTATGATAGCTCCAGGTATGTAGCCGTGTTGGTCTGAAGCCGTAGAAACAAAGTTTGAGTCCAGTGGCACCTCTAAGACTAACAAAGTTTTATTGAAGGTATGAGCTTTTGTGTGCATGCACAGTGAGGAAGCTTATACCTTGAATAAAACCTCATTGGTCTTAGAGGTGCCACGGGACTCAAACTTTGTTCTGATGCTTTTATGATGGTCATGACAGAGGCTGCTGCTGACTCCCAAATGACTTCCGTACTACAAATTATCCAGCGCAACTTTCCCCTGCATGTGCTCTTCCCTTGGTCGCACGCCAGCCTGCTCTCGATTCTTAGGTGTTCTGGCTTCATTTGTCTTCTTTTGGTATCTCCTCTCATCACTCACTAGATGTTTGTTTTGATCTTACAAAAAGCTTGACAAATTGCAGCTCCATTAGTATTTTTAGCATTTGCGTGGTGCTTTTTGGATGTTCAAAATGCTTTGTATGCGCTATGTTGTAATCCTTACAGGATTCTTGTTAAGAAAGTCAGTATATGGGAGGCTGAGAGATGAGGGCTTCCCCAAGGCCACCTAGTGAGGCCTTGGAAAAAGCAAGATTCAAACTGGAGACTTCATAATTCATACCAGGGTCCCTTAGCTACTCTGCTGCACCCACTCTACTCTTCACATATATATTTGTTTATACTTCCCGGGTGATGATATGTTATACAAAGTCCTGCTTTAGTGGTTACAGAGATCCTGGGGAAGAGGAATTTCTGAAAAGAGTGCTTTCCTGTTTTCGTTTAATTCTACTTGAGCCAGGACTTACACAGCAGAACTTTTAAAAAATCTGAATTGTATTGTACTTGATTTTCCAGCAAGGTTTGTGCAATGAACTGTGGGTTAAATAAACCACAGCTTATTGTGACCTCTGAATACAGATTGAAGTGTTCCCCCCCTCCCTTTCTCTTTCAGAGTTTAGAAGTCGAAATTGGCCCACCTCCATCTGCCAAAACATCTAATAATGAATTTAATTTTGTGGTTGGTTTTAAGGATTTAAATGGTAAGTGCCTAGCAACTTGTATTACTATAACCAGTAAATATTTGGGCCTTGTCTTGAAAGAAATGAATCTTCAAGGCTTAAATGAAAACACTGCTGTAAAAGTTGCCCTGTTTAATATTGTACTCAATTATTATAACATTTTATTTTTGTTCTGATCAAGATCTGATCTGGCATAGGTACATTTTTATAATATTTTCTAATGTTGTGCTGAAATGTGGTATGAAAGAGGTTGTCTTTGTCACCTATCTCTTTGGCTTAGGAGCCAGGTCTTCCAAGCAGAAAGCTTGGGGAAAGTCTGTGGAAGACTTCCTGATAATGTTAGTGTGTTGAAGGCTCTCAGACTCTGAAATAATCTCTCATGAATCTGGAACCTTTCTTAACAGAATCCTTAAATACCCTGGAAGATACTGATTTGGACGCTTTAATGGCTGATCTTGTAGCAGACATCAGTGAAGTAGAAAAGAAGACCACTTCCCAAGAACAGAAGGATGCTTCTCACTATCAGCAAACTGCTGGGACTCAGCCTGCAGCAAATGCCTCTGCCACTTACAACTCTCACTTGTACGTCACTGTGGAGAATGACTTGCCGCCTCCCCCTGCAGACCTAGCCGTTGGCCCTCCACTGCCACCACAACGGGCACCACTTCCTGATAAAATGCTCACACAGGTGAGACACCTCAGAAGAAACTAATTTTAATCAAACTTCTGCCAAAGCTCTTGGTATGAATGATTCTGAGGATATTTGCTCAGTAACAAAATAGATTGGGTTGGATCCAGTCGAAGAGTTCCACAGAAGCCATTGACGGAGGAGATCGTTTCCTGCCTTCTCCAACACCCTTCCATTTGTCCCAACAGTCCTCTAAGGAGTGAAATAAGGTCAAATTACCTTTCTCCCTTCTCTGCTGATGCAAGTCTCAGATGGAAGAGAGGGAAGCGATTTTACTTGATTCTCCCTTGGTGCTGCATTGCCCTGTCCTTTTGCTCATTTTGCTCATCTGCTGATCCTCTGAGAGGAGTCGCTCAGGGAAGGCAAGGAAAGTAACAATCCACCAGCTTCTTTTGTTAACTCTTCCACTGGATCCAACCCCTCATCTAGAAAAGCCAAATTATGGGTTCTGATGTGGTGTTGAGAGGATTGATTTCTTGTAAGCCTTTTTTTTAAAAAAAAGTGTTTTCTTTATGTGATCCCCACACTTAACAATGCAGATATAAACCAGCTAGCCAGATACTTCCTCTTGTGTAGAAACCGTTGAATCAGGCTCTTCATATTAAGAGTGTGATGTGTTCTTAAGCTGAGGCCTCCAAAGGCCTCTGGTGCACATTCAAGTGTTATTGAAGGGTATAGTGAAAGGGGTGAGTTTCTTGCTGGCACATGAGAGGCTGATGATAGTTCAAAAACACCCCAAACTGCTTTATGTAACTTTGAAGGGAAATAGTCAGGTTGGAAGCAGGTGTAGGACTTATGAGGTGAACAGACAAAAGGAATGAGGTAACTTTGTATACAAATAAACAAAAGATAATTTGTCACAAACAAGTAACTGTTTCCGTTATTCAGACAGGTCTTTAAAACTTGAGGAGAGAGATTTCTTGGCAGTCTCTGCTTAAATATACAAGCATAAGCTTCTTTGTCTCACAGACACTTAAGTTGGTAAAGGCAGGATTGTTCAAACAAATTCCAATTTCCTTCCTTATCCACAGGCTAAGGATCACCCTGTTCTTTTAGAACTGGATAGGGATCACTTCCCTTTTCTAGGAGTTATTTCCCTCAGGCTTGACTGAGGATCCTTCTTGATCCTCTCACTCCCTTAGCCCTCCTTCCCAGTCAACTGTCAGTTGACTATCTCAACTGAATAATTCCATTTGAATCCCCTGTCACTCAGGGTTCTCAGATCAGGTTACAGCATTAACCATTTACTGTCTGTCACAAGCAGTGTTCCCTCTAAGCTGAGTTAGTGTGAGCTAACTCACAGTTTTTTAGCCTCCGGCTCACACATTTTTGTCTTCGCTCAGGAAGTATGGCTCCAGAGCAAACGAATTGATGCAATGGCCAAATCGCTCGCTCACAACTTTAATGCCAGTAGCTCACAAAATAGAATTTTTGCTCACAAGACTCCACAGCTTAGAGGGAACATTGGTCACAAGGGTCTTGTTGCTAAGTTGGATTTAAAACATTATTCTTTATTGCAGGAAGAACAAGAGGCACAAGCAAAAGCAGACAAGATTAGACTTGCATTAGAAAAACTGAAGGAAGCCAAGGTTAAAAAGGTATCATTTTGTGAAATATTGGATTCTAATACTTAAACATCAAATGCAATCATTTTCTAACAGTTGATATTGTACTCTTTTTTTAAAAAGGGAAGGATTAAAAACAGTGAAACAGCATACCCAGATAGCAAATACCTTGTGAAAAGAAGCTGATGACCACATCAGGCCATTGTAGTTGCGTAAGGTGGCAGTAATGCTTCAGCTATTAGTTCAGGAGAAACTCTGAACTTATCTTCCAGCTCTTCCAATTCAGTGCCAAATTCGAAGTTACACTTTTTTGGCGAGATGTGTGTAGGTTTCCCTAACCAAATTCATGTCTCCTTCAATCAAACAGCAACTCCAGAGAATGCCATTTTAAAGACCATCGGGAGCCCTTTTTGGCTTGGATCTGTGGTATTGGGGGGGGAGTTTCCTACACGCCTTTTTCAGAAGTTGAAATGGCCCCCATCAAGGAGTTACTTACATCATTTCGGAGTGTCACATGCTCAGGATACCTCAAGTGGTCCTCCAGTTATGTAAACAACTCCCTGCAATGTGTGTGTGTGTGTGTGTGTGTGTGTGTGTGTGTGTGTGTGAGAGAGAGAGAGAGAGAGAGAGAGAGAGAGAGAGAGAGAGAGAGCAGCTTTGGGAAACAGCTGGGGGGGCAGCAGGCCCTCATCCCCCTAACTCACCCCCTCCCCGAAGTAATGTCTAGTTTGACCGTCAAGTTTTTCATTGTTCTTTCTGAGGGAAAACTCCATCATTCATATTTTAGGCAGTTACATCTCTCTCTACTTTTTAGAAAATGTGCACTGCACATGCCTATGGCGATTAAATGCCAAAACACATACATCCACCTAAGTACCGGTAATATAGAAATCACTATATTCTCGATGTCCTTGAAAAAGATTAGGTCAAAGCTTTTAATTGTTGAACTCCTGTGTGCTGACAGAGTCAAGCAAAGGATCTGGTATAAAATGTGTTTGTTCTATTTTACTACTTTATTTACCTCAGAACTTTTCTCAGAAAAGCCCTGACATTCAGTGCAAATTTGATGCTACTGGACTCATTGTCTATGTTTCTCTCAGCCCACCATGGTAATGAACAGCTGAGGGGGAGGGGGATAGAAGGCAGGAGGAGTTAAGGCAAGAGAAGTTCTGAGTTCACCCATCCACCCAGTCTCATAATTTATCAATAAACTACATCAGAATGAGCATTAAAAAAGAGGAAGAACTGTGTTCCGCATTCTTATCTCCTAAAAGTAGGAGGCAAACCCACTTCCTATTTCCAAGTGGGTTGCTTTTTTTCTACTCTGCTACCAGCAGGATCAGTTATGAAAATGGGGATTACATCTGTCCGTAAGAAATGTCTGGTTTTCCAAATGAAGTCTTCTAAATAGTTGATTAAACTTTGTTTATAACACCCAATACTCCTTACTTTGTTTTTCTGCAAGTTTGATCTTCCATAAAGAGTAACTATTTTTGTGTGGGCAGCCCAGTCCTGCAGCTTGGATCTTAAGAAAATCTTTATATCCAATTCTGAACTGAGCCCTTGGGTGTGGATCAAAAAATCCACACAATGCAGCTAGGGGCAGATGGGGGTATTGCCCTGTGAATATGAGGGAAGCCCTAGGTTTGTAGAAAAATCTGAAGTCTAAAAATATATATAAGGAGGGGGATAAAAACCCGACATCTGTAGCTTTAAGAGACAAAAGCCCATATACCTATATGGATATACTTATATTCACCTGATACAAGGCACGGTTTTTTTGTTTTGTTTATCATGCCATCTACTGTTTTATTGGTTTTATTGTTTTATGGATATTATAATAATAATAATAGTAATAGTAATAATATTAATATTATTATTAACAACAACAACAACAATAATAATAATAATTTCTGATATCTCAGTGGCCATGGGGGGTTGCTAGGCAACCACAACAGGATTGCTGAGCCTTCCAGGCCTTGGTTTCTTTCAGTCAAAGACAGGAGGGAGCGACTGAAAAAGGTAAAATAAATAATAGAAAAGAAAACAGGAAAGAGGAGAGAAAGAGAAGCTGAAGAGGGGAGAATAGAAAAAGTTAAGCGGGTAGGAGAGAAAAAGGGGAGAGGCTGCCAATGGAAGGGAAGGAGGAAAAGCTGGACAGAGAGATACAGATGGGTGTAAAGGAATGGAAGCAGGGAGAGGAAATGGTGCTAGGAAGGGTTGTGGGGGAAATTAGATGCTCCCCATGAATCCACATAGGTCTCCCACTTGCCTTTAATATATTTCCAACACTGAGAACTTTCTCTTGAAAAATGGAAATAGTTCCCTCCTCCATGACTTGCAGAAACCGGTGCTTTATTTTAAGATTGTTGACAGGTAGATTTTTTTTATCAATGCAGATACTTTTATTAATTCATTCATGTACATCTCAACTTTTATTCAGTTGTAGTAGACACAAAACAGCACTGATTATAATAAACTCCAAGGACTAATGCGCACTAACCTTCCAGGCACATGACTGTTTGATCACACAGCTGCTCCCAGTGTGAGTCATAAGGCTGCCATTCCCCTGGGGGGTTGGGGGTTTGCCCGTTTTTAGGGCCCTCAATTCGCCAGCCAGGATCTGGCTGGTTGGGGGAACCCCACCCGCAAAGTGCCACGTTCAGGCCAATATGCCTGGCGCAATGATGTCACTCGGAGGTGATGTCATTGCACAGGGCACGTTGTGGGAGGACACCCTATCATTTGAGGGAAAACTCTATGGTTTTTCCTCAAATGATAGAGGCCACACCCACAACGTGTTACACGATGATGTCACTTCCAGGTGATGTCATCCAAAGATCTCCCGAGGAGGAGGAAGAACCCAGCCCCCTCCACCGGCAGCCAAGTAAGACCTGGCAACCCTAGTGAGTCACGTGCAGCATCTTAAATGTTTTCACTACTGAGCCCCAAAAGTAGGGGTTAATGATGGGGTGGGAGAACAGACTGGTTCTTTGCATGGCATTTGCTTCACACCCACAGAGTGTCATAAGGTAGGGGCAACTGTGGGTTTTAAATAATGTTTTTTACTGTTTAAGACCTTATTGCCTGTGCTGCAGTAACGTACTGCAGTACTTAAGAAAAGTAAAAAAAATTACATTAGAGAAAGATATGCATGCACAATCTTTATATCTAAAAATAAATAGGGAGAAGAGAGAGAAGGCTGTTGTTGATGCTATAGTTTTGATATACCACAAGAGATGTAAAAACATCGCAACTATATTTCTAGGCTGTTGAACAACTGTGGCTAGATATTACTTCCCCCTTTTTAAAAGCATGCTGTAGATTATTGATACCCAATGTATTTTCTCGATATTCTGCCCTACTGCGAAAGAAAGGAAATGAAAGTATACATTTTAAGTTCTTAAACTATCTTATTTGTCAAAAGGCAAAATGAAAGCTTGTTCCTTCCTGATTTCATCCAGAAGTGTTCTCTCTGTATTGCCAAAGCTGTTTTTGCAGACAGTTTAAAATTAGACTTCAGTGGAACAGTAGCAGAGTTTTCCTGACCTGGAACCAAGTTTTTTTCCACCCCAGTTCTTGGATAATTTTACTGTTTCTTGTATCGTTCTGTCCATTTCTGTTTGTAATTAGTTAAACATATTTTCTTCTTTCTTGTTGGTTGGATACAATTGCTGGGTAATCCTAAATGGAGTTAGAGGGGTGTAATTCTGTCTAGAATGGCACTATTTATCTAATACCAAGAGCAAGTAATAATTGAGTTGTAGTGAAGGTAAACACAATAAATGTAAATTATGTTGCACATGGGTTCTATCTGATGGCTCCTTTCTACTAAGTGAGGAATCTTCCATGAGAGGAAGACTACTTGCAACTCTGGAACTCTCTCACCAGAGAGAATCACCTGTTTGATTCTGTAGTTGACTCCCACCAGTGGGTGAAAACTTTTTTGTTCCTTCAGTGATCTCTCCTTTCTGTCCTATGTTTTAATGGTTGTTTTTATGTTTGTGTATGCATATTTTAGTTGGTTTCAATTGTTTTAACATGCATTTTTGTTTGGTTTTAGCCATTTTAAAGAGGTGTTTTTGTTATGTAAGTTTTTAATCTGTTAGCTGTCTTGGTGACCCTGATGATGGCAGAAAAACAGAGTATAAATGTTGTAAGAATAAGCAAAAGGAAGTAATCCAATCTAACTCCTAACATCTGATTTGGAACACTATTGCCTTAAAATCCCTCAGCAAAAATTTTAAAGTTAGTCTTTCGAAAAACATTCTCATAACTTAAAATGCAGCTCTTTTAAAAGAGTAAATTGTCAGATTTTGAATCATGGCAAAATTTCGCATAATCTCTAAGGGTTGGACTTGGATCCAACCAACTTTTCACCGACTGTAAAAAGAAGGAGGTATGCTGGAGATCATGAGCAATGCTCCCTCTAAACTGTGGAGTCTTGTGAGCAAAAATTCTACTTTGTGGGCTACTGGCATTAAAGTTGTGAGCGAGTGATTTGGCTACTGCATACATTATTCTGCTCTGCAGCCATCCTTCCTGAGCTAAGACAAAAATGTGTGAGTTGGAGGCTAAAAAACTGTGAGCTAGATCACACTAACTCAGCTTAGAGGGAACACTGATCATAAAACCTTCATGAGCGAAAGCCGTGTGGGGACAGAACTGTAGTAAGGAGGGGAATTGGGCAAGGTCATGTGAAAATCCTGGCTGGATCCAACCCTTTGAGAGGATAAAACATCCAGTGGGTGTGAAGAACAGGGAAGGCAGTAGAATCTGTGGGATTCACTTTTTATTTGACTGCTAGGGCATGTTGTCAGTGGACTAGTAAAATGGCAACTTCATCTGCAGCAGTCAGTAGGGGAAGTGATTCATGCCAGTAAGCATAAGAACCTGCTTCCATTTGCAGATAATTTGCATTGGCTAAAGGAATAGGTACGGAGGCTGGATTTTTTTTTAATGGAATGGCAACCCTATTTCTGTGTATGTTCAACAATTTATCAGAGAGAGAGCATACAGACCGTATCTTTACAGGGTGTTTCACCATTTTTTTTTAAATAACCCAAAGCATAAATTAGCTCTTAGAAACAGAAAGAAAGGGGTGGTAGGGTGTTGATTTGGTAATGCTCCCAGGACATATTATTTTCCCAGTCCAATCATGGGTACTTGATGCATTTGAATCAATAACACCCTTGTGTCCTGATCTCTTATCAGCCCAGACAGATTCTTGACCACTGTAGCCTTTCAGTCAACAGTGAAATGAATGAACTGATCTATTATTCACTCCCCCAGCTTGTTGTCAAGGTGCACATGAAAGATAACAGCACAAAGTCACTGATGGTGGATGAACGGCAAACGGCACGCAACGTCTTGGATAATCTCTTTGAAAAAACCCACTGTGACTGCAGGGTGGACTGGTGCCTTTATGAAATATACACAGAGCTACAAATTGGTGAGCTGCATGGCATCCTAGAATCTGTAATTCTGATGTTATATTTTAACAGTTTTACGTTGGCAACTTGATGGTTTTACATCAGGTGTCTCTCTCTCTCTCTCTCTCTCTCTCTCTCTCTCTCTCTCTCTCTCTCAGTTTCAGTCTCCTAGTCTTGTTGAACCACCAGCCTACTAAGGGCTTTATGTGTGCGTGCATGCGCCGCTTGTGTGCAAAAAGTATATGAAAATGGAATTCTATTATAAATGAAAAAAAGTATATGAAAATGGAATTCTATTCTATTATAATTCTATTATAAACTAAAAAAAAGAATCTGGGGAATCTCTATTTCGGAAAAGCTGCTTTTGAAGGGCTTTAATGTTCTGGCACCTAGAATTATGTTAGGCTCTTCCTTGGAACCCATTTTGGCCAGTAATTGACTGTTAATTACTGCATTTGAAGATTAGGAATGTGCTCTGATGAATGTTTTTGTGTGAATAAAGCAGTATTACCATTTTTGGTTTTTCTAGAAAGATTTTTTGAAGATCATGAAAACGTAATTGAGATCTTATCAGACTGGACTCGGGACAGTGAAAACAAAATTCTGTTTTTGGACAAAAGTGAAAAATATGCTGTGTTTAAAAATCCTCAGGTAAAGTAATATGATATAGCAAAAGTGTGTATATTCATGTGGCCTAGTTCATGCAACAATAACCATATTTTATTTAGAACAAAGTTTGAGTCCAGTGGCACCTTGTAGACCAATGAAATTTTATTCAAGGTATAAGCTTTCATTTGCAAGCATGCTTCTTCAGATACAGTGAAACAGAACATCCTCAACCATTACATATAGGTAGGAAGAGGGTTAAAGCTTAAAGACTATCAAAATTAGTGGCAAGGTATGAGCTGTCATGAGTCACCGCTCACTTCTTCAGTTACAGCAGACACATTTATTCAGATACACTTCTTCAGATATCTTTCATGTGTAGCTTGACAACAGGTTGGGGGAGAGAATTACAGATCAGTCCATGCTGTATCTGAAGAAGTTTGGTGTAGTGGTTAAGAGCAGTGGACTCTAATCTGGAAAACCGAGTTTGATTCCCCGCTCT